TCGTCCATGGTGAACAACAGCAGGTCAGGTGGGGGAGTGAGATAAGAGGAAAGTCAAAAATGGTTAGTAAGAAAAGAAACCTTAGCAAAATAAACATATCAAAGAAAAAATGGTTGATAAATAAGCTCACACTTACCTTTTTGTCCACGGTGAACAACAGCAGCTCAGGTGGTGAAGTGAGAACAGACATGCAAGATTAGGGAGACAAGTACTCTTTAAATTATTGAATATTATGAATATAATGTATTTCATATAGTTACTTTACCTTTTTTGCCATATGAAGGCATTTTTGGTTTCTGGAGGATTATGTTAAGGGAGCAAATTGTTAGGAATATAGGCTAAATGTTAGGCAGACTTTAAACTAATTTTGGGGAGCTTTGTTGGTCCAGTGTTTCCATGAGGTTTGTTTATGTTGGATGTTCTGTTTTTTAAGGTGACTGAGCTGTAGGAGCAACTGTTGCTGTGAGAAGGAATGTAGTTTTAATTTGAACACTAATCAAGCTAATGTTTCTTTGCCCTGCCAGACGCAAAGGCAAATTTGTCTTCCTCAGCCCCGCCAGACGCGAAGGCTTAATGCACGGGGTGTCAACAGCCCTGCCAGACGCGAGGGCTACCTGGGGCATCGCCGGCCTCACCAGACACAAAGGCCGGCCCTCGGGATGAAAGAAAGAGAGGTTGATCCATCCACCGTGCAAAGTATGAGGAGATACTCTAAATAAGTCACGGTGCAAGACACTACGTGGGTGTTGACAGCCCTGCCAGACGCAAAGGCTGCCTGGGGCTTTGCTTGCCCAGCCAGATGCAAAGGCAAGCCCCCTGTGTTAAAAAGTGTCAATCTGGTGGTCCCAGTGCAAGACGCTATCTGGGGTGTTAGCAGCCCTGCAAGACACAAGGGCTACTTTGGCTTCCTCAGCCCCGCCAGACGCAAAGGCTACCTGGGGCATCGCTGGCCTCGCCACACGCAAAGGCGTCCTCAGGATGAAAGGAAGAAAAGTCGATCGTTCCACTGTGCAAATAATGAGGAGATAAACTAATAAAAACCCAGTGCAAGACGCTACGTGGGTGTTGACAGCCCTGCCAGACGCAAAGGCTGCCTGGGGCTTTGCTTGCCCAGCCAGATGCAAAGGCAGCCCCCTGTGTTAAAAAGTGTCAATCCGGTGGTCCCAGAGCAAGACGCTATCTGGGGTGTTAGCAGCCCTGCAAGACGCAAGGGCTGCCAAAGGAATCACTGTAATGTGGAGGTGATGAAGAGCAGATGTGTGATTGCTCCGATGACTCAAGCAGAATATTCAGCCCATCCATCGTTGAGTCAATCCGAGTCGCTCTCTTCAGCCCATCTCCGCCTCTTCGTGTGTGAGAGCTTGAGACTAATATGGCAAAAGGATCTCGGTGGTGAGATTAGTGAAGATGTATGGCAGGATATGATCTCAAATGTAGGCTCGGCTACAAGGGATGCAAGGAGTAAGGTCATCCACTATAAGATCGTACATAGGTATTATTTTACACCACTGAAATTGTTTAAAAAAAAAGGACAGTAAATGCTGGAAATGTCATAAGGAGTTGGGCACATTCCTTCTAGGGCTGTACCCAAATATTCGGATATTCGAATATTCGTTTCTATGGGTAGGTATTCGTCATGAAAATTTGGTATTCGATATTCGTTTTTTTTATTTACTTTTTTTTTTAAATTATTTTTATTTTATTTTTTTTTTACATTTTTTTTGTGCTAAATGTAGTCTTTTTGTTGTTGGTAAATGTAGGTTATCAATAAAAATCAAAACTTTTACATTGCATTGTTAAAAATGTGAAAATATAGTATCGCCTACCAACGGAGCTTGTGCATGGCACGCTTGAGCGCATCCGTCTGAGGCTGTGGATCAATGCCAAGTTTTACCACTTTATCACTATTCCCTCTAACTTGTAGCTGTTTTTTCGTTATCTTTTGAATTTAATATGAATTATGGAACCATTTTTGTCAACGTTTGTTTCCCCCGTTTTGTACAATAAATTATTGTTTAAAGTTTCAACAAGTTTCTTTTGGACTGCGTGACACAAGTGTGTTTTGAAAACGGCCGCGGACTGTCACCTGCTCAACGCATCAGTACCTTCAGATGCCATGACAGTAATAGCCAATAATGTCAAAATATCATTTACAGACCGATTTAACAGACGATCACTGCTGCCCGACCCGCAGGTCCATTTGCGAGTCCCGCGGGTTACGGGTTGACCCGCGCATCACTACTCAGCTCAGTCTATAAGGCTGTACACAACAGTAAGGCTATAGACATTATATTCTATTCAAGCCAGCAGAACCAGCAGCACATTGGCTCTACAGTGCACGGCACTGCTGATTAACCATTTTATTGCAGCACAGAGTGTCTGCCAGCAACCAATTACTTGCAGAGGCTTCCTACAACTTAAACAGGATGACTAGTCAATGTGAAAATCAAAAGAAAGCATAGAATAATGTACTGAAGGAGACTGTTGTGCCATCACATTTTTTGTGGTTTGAGAGCAAAGATCCGGTCGCCGCTGTGCAAAACTCCGCAATACAATTAGGTCCGAAAAAAACCCGGAGGAGTGCTTCGCAAGGAGTCTTTGAAAGGAGCTGAGCCTGGCGTAAAACCGGCGAGAGCAGGCAGCACGGCTGTGCTGTATGGAGTTGGATTTGTTGTTGTTTATGTAGTTGTTGTCTGAGCTGTGTTTGGGGCATGTAAAAATGTTTTTTACAGCCTTGTAGCCCAGGTTCTGCTGTTTAATTTGATGTGCAACATCACTATGTTCTTCGTGATCAGTGCATTGTTTCACACTGTGTTTGCAAAGTCGCTCTCAAATGGGGGACTTTCAGGTTTGACAGGTTCGATGTAACACTAGCATATCTTTATCTGAGCCAAAATGATCTATGGCTATAGCAAACCTAAAGCAGCAGATGTACGATTGTCATGGGATAATAGATTAGAGAATTTCTAATTTTCAATGGATCCACAGGTAGAAGTTGCCATAGCTAATGTCAAAGTGCCACACTGTAAGCACAATAATCACATACATAAACACATAAACACTACAGCTGGTAAAAGTGGGACTTAGTTTGTAGTATAAATCTTACTGCCAGCTAGTTTGTAAATTTCACAAAGGGATCAATAAAGTCTTACCTTAGCCTATAAAAATACATCAACTTTTACTATTTTATAATTATTACAATTTGTATTATTACACTAAAAAATGCAAAGTAACTAAAGGTATCAAAGAAAAGTAGTGGCGTAAAAAGTACAATATTTACCTCCAAAACATAGTAGAATAGAAATATAAAGTAGGAGAAACTGGAAATACTACAGTAGAGTACAAAACAAGTACCTCTAAAACTGTACTTGAATACAGTATTTGAGTAAATGTACTCAGTTACTTTCAACCACTGAAAACTAGGCCTATACAAGCACTGTTTGTAAGGGTTATCGTTCAGCTGCCAAATATTTGCAACAAGAATAATCACATCATGACTGACTCCTTGGCCTTCCTATTAAAACCTGTCAGTGGGCCCTCCTAAGGTTTTATTTGATGATTATGATATTCATACATTCCCAAAGGTCCAGACGCTCTAAATCCAGCAAGATATTTAGTCCAAACACATTATTACAACTATAGATATCTATGAAATGTCGTCACATTGTGTCAAACATTCATATTTCTCTACATATTATCCATAACTTCTCCCATTTTGCATGTAAACAAACTGACCAGCAGGATGCTAAAATGGAGGCAAACTCCTGGCCTTTTCAATGACACCTCACTTGGGACAATTGGAGCTTCCAGTGCTGTTGCTATGGCCTCGATAGCCAATGGGGGCATGTGTTTAAGGAGGGGGCATGTGTTTAAGGAAGGTGCATCACTTACTTTTCTGGGGATCTAGCCAATCAAAGAGTCAGTTATTAGTGGTTTGTGATGGTTTATGGGTCCTGTAGTCAATTAGATGTCCTTCAGTGTTAGTTGTTCAAGAATACAAATGTTGGTTTGTTGCTCTCAATGACAAATGACTTGTGGATAATAACTAATTGTATGAATAAATTCAGACCAAATATATTGGCCACTATAACTATGAATTTCTGGAATAATCTGGTCACTTTTTAAACCTCAGCTTATTATTTCATAATCATCTTGTTGTTTTTTTGTTGTTGTTGTTTTACAGTAATACTTTATTGCAAGTCATTTGTATCTATTTCAACATGCCCAAAGTATTTAAAATCTACAATGATGAATGAACCAAATTAAGATAAAAAGTCTCAAAGCTGTATCATGTCACATCTGGAAAAAAAAAACATCAGTGGAGGAGCATTTGACACCCTCATTGACATGGACAAATTTTAAGACAACTACCCCCTTGGGTGTAGATATGCAAAGGGCCCCACCAGCTCTCCTACGTAAGAGCAAGATATACAGACTTTGTGGTGTTTTTATCTTCTTATTATACTTTTTTTTGTGTCCTTGTGGTTGTTGTGTCTCTATGAGGTCATTTTGTGTCTCTTTGTGGTTGTTTTTGGCTCTTTGATGCAATTTTGTGTTTAATAAAGGTAATTTTGTGTTCCTATGAGGTAATTTTGTGTCTTTTTTGGTTGTTTTGTGTATCTTAGTAGTCATATTGTGTCTCCTTGTAGTTGCTTTGTGTCTACTTGTGGATTTTTATTTTTTTTTTACCTTTTTTGTAGTTCATTTGTGTCTCTGCAGTCCCTTTACATCTCTTTGTGGTCTTTTTGTTTCATTTTGTGGTCATTTGTTCCCAATAAGACAGTTCAGTAATCCATTTGTGCTTAATGTGTTTCTGGAGAGGTTTCACCTGTAAAAGTCCACCTTAAAGATTAGGTTTTATGCTGAAGTGGAGCAGAACATGCGTAGAAAGGATTACTCATCAAACAGGAGAACTGGGTGAAACTAACATTTTCAGACAGGGCAGTAACAGACTGGTTAGACATTCACCATTCTCTAGTGCATGTAGGAAAGAAGTTTTGCAGAAGGGTGCATTCACCTACCTGTCAGGTGTCTCTCTGACCAGTCTTATCACACAAAGTAGTTTAAAGTAAATAGTTTGAAATCAAATAAAATATTACAGTAAAAGACAATGAGTTCCCTGCAACATGTAAATCCCAAGGTGAGGGGCATCAGAGTCTCACCACACAGTGGACTGCAAAGTCTGGCTGCTCGCATTACACAAGAGATCGCACAGGTAAGTGCTGGTAATCTGTACTTTTTTGCTCTACATTCGGTCTGTGTGTACTGGAGAAATAGCTCTATGTTTTCTGAATATCTATAATTTGAATAGGGATTTTTTTGGCATCTGCAAATGCAAAATAGATTTACTTCCACTGTGGTCATTGATGTTAAGCAGGTGTCAAGGCAACTTTGACCAAACCGATTAAATACCCGTTGATCATGAACAACTGATTCACACCGAAGCAACAAATTCAAAAACTGAAAGACATTTTAAATTACATAGAGTTTAAAACACTTTATCATTTCTCAAAACCAATCATTTGATTTTTTAAAAGTTAAGGTGGTTTTTTAGACTTTAATCCAGACTGGATCTGATCCTTTCCTAAATTAATATGTTCTCCTGCAGGGGGTCCAGAGACCCTTCAGAGAGGTGATTGATGTCAGCTCGGGTGATCCACACAAAGCAGGAATAAAACCCATCTCATTTGTTCGCCAGGTGGGTGTTATCATATCAGGTTTTCTTTCTCTTTTTTCACACCTTTAAAACTCTTCTCCATGATTTGGAGGCTGTCAGAGTTTGTAGAATATTTTCTTCAGACTATGTTTGTGATCATCAGAGCTATTTGTATTATGATTTTATTCATCCATTTAATGTGTTACATCCATGCAATTTTACATTTTTTTATGATGACACACACACTTTGTTGATCCTTGAAGACTCTCTTTGTGTTTTAGCAATGTCATAAAAAAAATTTCTAACCATGCTGTCTGTGCGGCTGATTTCTGGACTAGGATCCCCCAGTACTGTGTTTTTTTTTCTCAGAAAAGCACTTTCCTGCTTACACAAACTTATAAAGTTATATAAAGTTATAAATTTTCTCTAGCTTCTAGTCTATATTGTCCTAAATCTGCCTGTTTTCGCAGGTCTTGGCAGTATGTCTGCACCCTCAGCTGCTGAAAGACAAAAATCTTCCTCAGGATGTCAGGCTGAGGGCTCAGAGGATCCTGGAGGTCTGCGATGGAGGAAGTGTGGGTGAGGACAGCAAAAAGGTTTTTCCTGTACAATCTGTCTGACTTAAAAACTCGACAGACAGACTGGCATTTTAATCAAATGTCTAGAAATAACACATCCAATGACTGATCCATAGGTTCCTATACAGCCTCCACTGGCTTGAACCACGTCAAGCAAAGCATCGCTGAGTTCATCATGAGACGAGACGCTGGAGCGCCTTCATATGCCAAAGATATTATCATTACTGCTGGTTCTCAAAGGGCCCTGATGGTATAAATACACTGTCATTATTGTTGTATCATCACTATTCATTGTCCAGATACATTCTGGGGTAGTATTACAGGCATGTGGTCCACCATGTTGCACCACGTTTCTACCGTAGCCCAGAACTGACAAACCACACACTGGCTCTAGATAGGGATATTTGCATTTTTGCATTTTCACACCAACCACCATAGTTAGCAGCAAACTGCACCAAAGAAACACTGATTTGGGACATATAACCAAGTTATTTAATGTGTTTTCTGGTTTTCATCACCGGATCTGTTTTTTCCTAGAGAGGAAAAGACCTGCGGATAATTCGGCTCCCAGCTCCTGACCAGTAAATGCTAAATGAATCCTAAGTTAATGCTTTGCATTTGGTAGAAGTTTCAGTCGGTTGCAGTTTGCAGTCTTCATACCTAGATGCCTATAAATCCTACACACTGTTCCTTTAAAGTGATCTTGTGTTGGCAAGGTTACTAAGATTCAGGCTAGCAAGATTAGATTAGTTTGATTACTTGAGAGGGAAGAAAAACTAATAGAGATGTAGACTTAGATCCTCAGCCTAAGCATACTGCCCTCCAGTGTGAATCCTATATGCACTTGAGGATTTTAGTTTGCCTTACAATTGTGACATTATGTGATTAGTCAAGGAGTTAAAGTATCTTGGGGTCTTGTTAATGAGTGACAGTTAAATGGAGTGTGAGATGAATAGGCAGTTAAGCGCAGCTATGCAGGCGCTGTGACGGACTGTCATGGTGAATCTATCTACATACCAACCCTCACCTACGTTATTGCTGAGCCGCCATTGAAGTGTCGCTCAAGCTCTCATTACCATACTTACGTCGTCATGGGCTTGTGTGTGATTGCAACTTGCAAAAAAGCACCTTGACTGATCATCATCTAGAGTTTGTATTTAATCTTGAAAATATCTATGCTTATGATCAGTGTCTGAGCCCAGTTTTAACATCACATTTTGCCACCCCATTGCATCCCCTGTGCAACCTAAAAACTATCATAGCAGTAGCTAACTAAGCTAAATAACACAGCACCACAGGTAAGGGAAAAAAAAACATATGATTGTTTGACACCTGAGACCAACTCAACTTTTGTTTGTGCTGTGTCACAACCATCAGTAGTATCAGGTAGCACTTTGTAGCTTCATGTCACTGGCTTCTATTCAAAAATTAACTGTAGCCTGTTGCTGTGTTGCTGTGGTGTGAACTCAGCATTGCACTGAAAACATACCAAGCAGCAGCAAAGTGTGGCCTGCGGCGAGCTGGCATGCAACATCTATGGAGAGCTATGGCTGTTTGATTCTGCAGTGAAATTTTGGGATAGTTAACTTTTAGTAGTGAATTGCAGCCAGAGAACAGCAGCAGCCAATCACTTAACAGAGTCGTGTGACTCTTGTGAAATATTGACCAGAGAATTTCTTCCCACCTGAAACATGTGAGCCGCACTTTTCTGTTGCCTCGTGTGTTTTCAGCATTACCCCACCTGGTGGTGGTGATGGATATTTACAACAACTTGTAAGCTTGTGTTTAGGATTTCATTTCAGTTATAGGACTGAATTCCCAGATCTCAGCAATCATTGACATAACTGATGGAAATATTTAGCCAAAACTCCCCAAAGTAAGGCACACGTAATTTACTGTTATTACCCTTTAAAGGCCAGAATGTGAAATTATGACTAAACTAGTCCATACCCATTGGTAGCTTTGTCACCTTCTACCTATGTCAATCCTCAATGCCTATGTGCAGTTTCACATAGATTGACCACGTCAGTGAGTAGAAAAACATGGGACAGACAGAATGACTGACTGACAGAATGACACACTGACAGTTTCCGTGATTATGTACAGCATACCATACCATGACTTAGTCATACCAAAAATTAGAAAAAAAAACAAACATTGGTCCACAGGGGGAGCCACAGCGATCGGTCGCATTTTAACCATTTTTAAGCATTTTTCTGTTGTTATAGCGCCACCCAGTTGCCAATTAGAGTTAAATTTCTCCAGTCAACTTGAGGCGTCCTGTTCTACATATCTACCAAGTTAAGTAAAAATCAATATGGCGGTTAGGCCTAGATAAGAAATTAGCTCTCGAGCGCCCCCATTTTGTTTGATGGGGTCAATAATGGAGGGGTCCCCTCAGATTATGTGTGGTCATATGCCTACAAAGTTGCGTGGTGATCGGTGAAACCCTTGAGACGTTATACACCTTTATGTGATGAGCCACGCCCTCCGCAGTATTCATTGCCTTATAGAAGATCAGTTTTAGTAAGTTTTCCAACTTTTGCCAAGACGGAACTTTAGATATTGGTCCCTAGATTATGTTCACCGAGTTTCATGCAGATCGGTCAAACTTCCTAGAAAGAGATCAATTTGAAGTGTTTTTCAAAAAATTCAAAATGGCAGAAAATCTATATTACTGGAAGTTATGGGTTCTTGAGGCAAATGTGTTCCTCATGAGGAGAGGCATCTCAGTGCAAAGTTTCATGTCTCTACGACATACGGGGCATGAGATATGTCCATTCAAAGTTTTCAATTTCAATCGGTTGCTATAGCGCCCCCCTTTGGCCAATTGATGTAATATTGCTTCATTCGCATCCTCCCATGACCCTCTACCACTGTGCCAAACTTCACATGGATTCACCAAATCAGTGAGGAGAAAAACGTTGAACAGACACACAGACAGACACACCCACAGACAGAGTTTTCCTCATTATATAGTAAGATTAAGCACTGACTGACTCAATATACAGTAAGTTTAAATATATTGATCTGTGGTATTGAGATGGTCCTTAGGCTGCTGACCAGTGAGAGGGGGGCGACTCAGACAGGTGTGTTGGCCCCAACGCCATGCCCACACACCCTGCCCATGCTGCTGGATGAGGCCGAGGTGACAATGGTGCCGTATCAGCTGATGGAGGACAGAGGCTGGGCTGTAGACCTGGACGAGCTGCACAGAGCAGTGAAGACTGCTAGGATGCACTGTGAACCCAGAGCAATTTACATCAGCAACCCAGGAAACCCCACTGGTAAACAACACACACTAGCTGCATTAAAGCCACCTGTTTAAACTTCCTTGCTGTCATCACTTTGTGTATGCTGCTGTTTGTCCTCATAGGTCACATGCAGGACTGGAAATCAATAGAGGAGGTGATTCGGTTTGCAGCAACTGAGAGACTCCTACTGTTAGTTGATGAGGTGATCATAAACTGTGTCTTCAGACTGTGGTTTAATAGAGTTACTGGCAGCCTTTTTGCTCACATAGTCTTTCATTATCTATGAATTCTTTTTCTCTGCACCACAGGTGTACCAGGACTGCGTGTATGGACAGGAGAAAGAGTTTATTTCCTATAAGAGAGTCCTGTTTGAGATGGGAAAAGAGTACTCAGAGACAGTAGAGTTGGTATCCTTCCACTGTTTATCCAGTGCCTGCATGGGAGAGTGAGTTCTGTCTCTTATATTTGTATTTTGTGTGCTTGTACATATTTCAGTGTTGACAGTGTTCTGGTATTGTACGTGTGCCTGCAGCATTATACACAGTGTTGGGAGGGTTACTTTTAAACATATTCCACTACAGATTTCTGAATACATACTTATATTTATAGACAGGGGCAGCAGTAGCTCAGTCCATAGGGTTGGGTGCCAGTTCACCTCCTGGGCACTGCCGAGGTGCCCTTGAGCAAGTCACCGAACCCCCCAACCGCTCGGGCACCTGACCAAGGCAGCCCCCTCACTCTGACATCTCTCCATTTTGTGCATGTATAGGTCCTGTTTGTGCATGTGTGTGTCTTTCGGACCTGTGTGTTAATGACAAAAGAGTGAAAAAATTGAATTTCCCCTCACGGGGATTAATAAAGTATATAAAATTAAATAAAAAAAAAATTCCATGCCAAAAACAACATTGTTCTAGCTGTATCTTCTGCCATTTTCGTGTGGCAGGTGCACTTCTTTTTTTTTTTTCAATATGTTAATGGGAAATCATCATGAATTTTACACTGCGTCCTAATATCAAGCAAGCATCAATCAATTGCATATGCACTTCTGTCATGTCATGTGAACAAAACATGTAGACTACCTATCAACTGTGCCATCGACTGGAGGTGTAATCACCTCAAAGATGGGCGAGCACTTACAGTCTTTCTACATTTGTACTTTTTAAACAGAAAACACTCATTTTATTTTGTGATATTTACTGGAAATAACATACGAGATAGCCAACAGCACTTTCCCTCCCTTGTGATCTCCCTCCAGCCAGCTGCCACCTTGTTTAGGTTTTTGTTGTTAAATGAGGAGGTATTGTGCAGATAACTCCTCATTTAACCTAAATCAGCTGGTCCTTGTCCATTGCAGCACTTTTAAAGTGAGCAACGGGACTAGCAACATCCCAAGTTGTCACATGTCACCGCTTTGTCAGTGGACTTTCACGCCTACATGCAGGGGCGGACTGGCCATCTGGAGGTTCTGGAGAATCACTGAACGGCCGGTACTCCAGGACGGCCGGTGGCCGCCACGCGGTCATCACTTTTTTTTTTTTTTTTTTTTTTTTTTTCTTTTTTCTCCCTGATAATCTACTATTCCACGTCCAGTCCGCTAGGTGGCAGCCTTTAACCCCATGGGCCCGAACGACGCATAGTGCATCCAAATTCACACCTGTTCTTCACTATTGATTTTCTCTGCAACCGTGCATCATAGGTGCATCATGCACTTGTCGGTAGTCCAATGTTTTCACAGCAAAAAAGAATGATAAAGTTACACTAAAACTATGTATAACAGAGCTTTCATACAGCTCAGATGGATTACTCGCGAATGCAGGCTCGCACAGAAATGCCACACATATCACATGAAAGTGCACAAGCAGAGCTTTCCAGTGATACACACGTCATTGTGCTGTCATCCCATCAGGCTATAAATCCAGATTAATTGTCTACAAAATAAAAAGCTGACGAATTTCTTTACAATCCATTATACAGATCTTGTTATCAGTCACTTCATATAGTGAGGAATATCGTATCTTACCACATCTTAGGCTTGTGTGTGTTTCTCCCTGTCTTTAGTCTTTAGTCTTTACAGGTCCCCTAAACCTCAAACTGTATTGTAATCTGCTATCCGATGCTCCCTCTCTAACCTCCTGTGCAGGAATTAGTGGTTGAAACACAGAGCAGGTCAAAGTGTTCAACTGTCACTGAATAGGGGTTATAACTCAGAAGAAACACACCGCTATGTGTTAGTGTGGGCTGTGATTAGTTGCATCACTGCAATGCAACAAAGAGGAATAAATAGAATTTATCTTTATCTATTTGTTTTCTAGCTGCACTAAACTCAATCAATTATGTAATTGTTACATGAAATCATACAAGGTACAACTCCAGTGAAATGTACTCCATTCAGCTCTTTTGACTTTGTATTGTGGGCTGCTGCTTTATAACTGTCCATGTTTGCTGACTGGCTGTAGTGAGTGTGTTTATGGCATCCTGGATGATTCTGGTAATTCATGGTTTCTGGTTGTGGAGTGCAGTTTGAGCTACAGTTGCTAAATCCATGACAGACTCAGTGAATTTATCAATATCATCTGTGACATCAACAGACTTGGCCTAGAACGTGCTCCAGACTCTGACTGGCTCCATCTCTAGCCTCACAGGGGGCATGCATTGTAGTTTGTTTACATATCTTGACCTAAACAACATTGTCATGTGATTGCTTTCCTCGAATACAGGCAGCAACTCCGCTCTGCAGCCACCTCTAAACAGCACATAGCAGTGGTCCAGAGTGGTTATTCCCCCTCTGCATAAGGCAAACAGGACTGGGACATCATTTCATATTCCCACTGTCACACCAGTCCTTATTCACCATGAAGCACACACTTCTTCCCCATCTTTCCCAAGATTCCTCTGTTTTGTCAGATCAGCATATAGCAAAGAGTCACCTGGTTAACCCTATGGGCCTGAACGACGCATAGTGCGTCCAAATTCACACCCGTTCTTCTCTGTGGATTTTCTCCGCGACCGTGCATCATAGCGAGAAGCCACGCATATCAGGTGAAACAGCGGAACTGTAGCTTTCCGAGAAGGCCAAGCACTTGTCAGTAGTCCAATGTTTTCACAGCGAAAAAAATGATAAAGTTACACTAAAATGATGTATAACAGAGCTTTCATACAGCTTTGCACAGACATTACACTTGGATGGATTGCTCGCGAATGCAGGCTCGCACAGAAATGCCACACATATCACATGAAAGCGCAGGAGCAGAGCTTTCCAGTGATACCACACACATCATTGTACTGTCATCCCATCAGGCTATAAATACAGATTGATTGTCTACAAAATAAAAACCTGACGAATTTCTTTACAATCCATTATACAGATCTTGTTACCAGTCACTTCATATAGTGAGGAATATCGTATCTTACCATGTCTTAGGCTTGCGTGTGTTTCTCCCTGTCTGTCCACATTTGTAGTCCAGCTTTCAAGATGCAAATATCTCCATATTGTCCAGACACTCCATCAAACTTTGTATGACAAGACCAGCCACTTCACCTTTGCGCACCCAGACAACTGTAGCCTAATTATGCATGCATGACAGGGCCGTAGTCACCATACACATTGAGGGGGACATGTGTCCCCCCCAATGCCCAAAATGCGCCCCAATATATAACTGAAACTGAAAAACAACAGCAAACTTTGTTTACTGCAAACAAAGTGGCAAATATTATCTTGGAGGACATCATTGCACTTGGTTGACTATTTTTCTATGATCTTAGATGTAAATATTGCATGTTTCTTTCAGATAACACATTTTTGCCCACATTGTCCTGAAAAAAACAAGATATAGCATGTGTATGTAGCCTTTATAATGACTGTGCTATGAGCTTAAAAGTAAAGGCAGTAAAAATACCCCAAAAACGCCTAGGGCCCATAGGGTTAAATTGGATGCCAGCTGGCCCATAGATGTTGGGCCTGTTTCAGGCAGTCACCTGCATTGTATTGTTCAGCAGAGAGACATCTGGACTGTGTCGTTTATTTCTCAGTGAGTATTCTACACTATGCTCTTAACACAACATCTAGTCAACATCGGTGCTATTGCTATAATTTGGAAGGTATAGTATCATGTGTTAAGATTTAAGTATTTTGACATCCGTGTCTGGGGCTGATGAGTTTCTGCGCACCGGTTGTTGTGGGCTGGGCCGAGTGAAAGTCCAGGGCTGTTTTTTAGTCCCAGTCCGCCCCTGCCTACATGTTACCCGCTAGGTATCCTTCTGCATCTGCTGCTGATGTTCCAGGATACTGCCACCAATGCCTGGACATCAACAAAAGCACATAGTTAGGTTTGCACTTTAAACATCAGGGTTTGGCTCTACATTCATACAAGAAGTGAACACCAGGCTTCCGGGTGAAAGTCTAGAGTTTGTTGGACCCATCCACCACTGCTCCCACCCATCCTATTGGGACTTTCCAGCTGCTTATATAACATCGTTACTGGCAGCGTTTAAAACTGACGCTGTCCTGTGGAGTATCATACTGCGACAAAGCGGCAATATTTGACAACTTAGGAATGAGAATGGGCTGGGAATAAATAGAAACAGAATGTCCAATATGACTTCAGCTCAAAACCACAGCACTCCATTGCAGTGGAAAACAATTCAATCAAACTGATGCTCAATCCCATTGCATTCAGTTAGGACACGGCGTTAGAGCAAATCAAACAAAACAAATAAAGTAATCCCTTCAAGGCTGGTGTTATTCTGTTTTTTCCTCATTGTTAATAGATTCATTTTGTCCATTGTGACTTCCCTACCATGCCTGATGCTCTCAGCTGCAAGTGTATTGGTTACTAATGAGTAGGTAAATCTTAAAAAAACAAACAAAAAAACAGCTGTATAATGTCATTTTTACAAAAAGTCTCATTGATTTGAAAACAGCTGGCTACTGTAGTTTGTTACAACCGTGACTCAAACATGAGGAAATGAGGTATTCGTTAGGGATTATATTCATCAGTGTATTGAATGTAATGTATAATGTATGTGGCATTGTCCTCATATAAACCACAGAGGCCATGCTTATTGTGATTTGACAGCTTATTTTATGGGAGCGGAAGGCTCCTATGCTGATAAACTAGACAAAAATGTTAAGTTGTACAGCTGTTGAAGCAATCATCACCAAACACAAACAAAAAAACCCTACAGATCACTTTGTTTCATATTTAGAGCACAGGAAGTGTAAATAGCCCAACACACATCAGCACCATAGACAGTATAAAAACAATGGATGTAGCCACCATGACTTCACCTTTTGGTTTTGAAGCCTTGTGTTTGGTATTTTGGCCCTTGCCATATTAGATTTTTGGAGTCAGAAGTGACCTGAGGTGATCTGAGGTGAGCAAAGGTGATGAGGACATAGGAAGAAACAAGGGTCATTGAGTGACTGAGCTTAGCTGAGGTGAAGCCTGGCAGACAGCCCATCACACAAAGCAGCCATGCCGTTTTTACAAGACACGACAATATCACAATGGCTGTTTTTTTTTTACTCTGTGTGTGTGTGTGTGTGTGCCAGGTGTTTATAGGTCTGTCTGTCTGTCGATGAATTTTGTCAATGGGACAGCAACACAACCGTGCACGATGCAGAACATTACAGGTGTGTTGACATCAAAATGCAGATCAAGTTCGAAAGCACATTCACATTAAGTTGGAATTGTTGTGTCACAGCTGGAGTGATCCAATTGCGAGATGGTCTCTAGTTAATGCATAACTTTAAGCCTTGATCAAATGAAAAGCAGACTATAAACATGTTTATTTCTGCTATGAAGTTGGGCGTTTTAACATGGGGTCTATGAAGATTGACTTGCTTTTGGAGCGAGCCTCAAATAGCCATTCAAGGATCTGCAGATTTTGGCACTTGTTTGTTTTTTAAGGCCCAGAGGTTGCTGTTTGATCAGCACCATGGATGAGCCCTGAACACCAAACCTCCATCACAGAAGTCAGAGGCAAGCAATGAGTAACCAAATAAATTCTGTATTTGTGTCCCAGGTGTGGTCTGAGGGCAGGATACATGGAGATGGTCAACATGGACCCAGAGGTGAGGCATGTTGTTAACATTATGCTGGATACTGATATCTGTGCTCCAGTCATAGGACAACTTGCACTGGATCTCATGGTCAACCCCCCAAAGCATGGAGACCCCTCCTATGACACATACATGCAGGTAACACATCTGCAGCACCTCTCTCAGCTTACAAAGCATTATTAGAGTCCTCTTTCAAGACTCATTTTCCTGCCCTTCTTGGTCATGAAGATGCACGTATCCCAGCAGTATACATCCCTGTCCCATGTTGTATCACTGCTTAAATATCTGTTTGTTTTTCATGAAGGAGATTGTCATCACTCAGGCCACTCTGTCCCAGAATGCTAAGCGGGCTCAGGAGTTCCTGAATGAGCTACCAGGGATGAGCTGTCAGCCAGTGATGGGGGGAATCTACCTCTATCCCTGTCTGTATTTACCAGCTGAGATTATAGAGCAGGCCGAGGTGAGAAACCTTTATGTTCATCAAACAAAATATAGTGCAGTGTGGTGACAGATAGTATTTAGAGGGCTATATCCAAATGTTTTGCATGTTTTAGCAATTTTACCAAAAACTGTGTGTACTGTAAAACAAGTCAAGTCCCAATTAAACGCCCAATCCCTTTTACTAACCTGGTGTGACTACACATTTTGACGAATCAACAATTGTCTCAGTTAGTTGGTTGCCAAGCAGTTCATTTTAGTTCTATCACTACCCACTTGAGCTAAGAGTCAGCTGCCTAGATAGTGCATACAAATATAAATGTTAGATAAACTTTTGTCAATATGGAGATGCTGTGCATTGTTAGCTCAGTTAGATTCTCCACAATTCAATTATTCAGTTGATTTTACTGAAAGCATAAGCCCAAAGAATACAGTAATTCAGTTAGATTTACAGGCTTGGTAAATGAGAGAAAAAAAGTGGTGATTCCCTTGTAGCAGGAAGGAAAAAGGAAGTGATATCACAGCCTTGTCCACCTGAGCAGGAGAGGAAGGAGGAGGGGAAGGTGATAAATTAAGGGACACCTGTGAGCTGAACAGAGAGAGGGAAAATCTAACAAAGGAGACTTGAAGGAGGATGGAAAGGGAAAAAAAGAGGAAATAAGTAAAAGGGTGAACCCAGCACTAGATTAAATGAAAAGACAACAGTGAATTAAACCTAGTGACAAAGTGTTACAAGGACTGGCTGGAAATGAACGGTAAGGAAACAACAACCTGGAAACAGGTAACAGATTGGGTCTGCTGTGCTTTTCCTGCTTGGATTCAGTGGCTGAGCTGAGGTGGATGACTCACTACCAGCAGATAAGTTCCTTTTTTCCCCACCAATCTCCTGGCTTCTCCAAACTCGAGCTTCAAGTTAACCTGGGTCCTTCCCTCCCCCCTCACTCACACTCACACTCCCCACACACTCTTCCACCTGAATTGATTTGAACTGAATTACATTCATAATCCCCCAAACACACACACATCCGAACCTGAACTGAACTGGATTACATTCATACTCCTCATACTCAACTCTCCATATGGTACAAAATTAACTTGCACAGATTTTTTTACTTGTCATCTATCATAGTAAGTTTGATCTCTGCTTTTACTGTTGTCAAAATTATATGATTTATTTATACACTGTGTGAGCAAATTAGCAAAAAAAAAGTTTTATTTTATATCAGAAAATTAAAGATAAGTCACTACAACAGCCTGTTCTTCATTCCAGTGAGTATAGAAAGGGCTAAAAACATCACATTTCTGCTCTTAGATACTGGGGTTGGAGGCAGATGTCCTGTACTGTCAGATGTCACTGGAGGAAGAAGGTGTGTTATTAGGAGCAGGATGTCAGCATGGTGAAACAACTGGCAACTACTATCTGAGGTGAAAGATGTGACCATTTACACGTGAGTCAGGTATGTTTCATTTTCTCTCACAGCAACTGTATTGTGTTCTCTCTCTGTCTCTCAGGTTTTGTATCCTTGTCCCTCCTGACACCCTGCAGGAGGTCCTGGCTCATCTCGGCTCCTTTCAGCTTCGCCTCATGAACCCACTTCCTCACCCTAACAGAGGTGATAAGGACAGAGACATGGGGAGAAATTTTGTGACCCAACATGAAGCCCTCTGTGGAGAGGAGCAGATCCTCAGTTAAAGTGTCGATCATAAGACGGAGACACGTAGGGAGCGTTAAAGGCTCAAAGCATTTTTGTTCAAGGGGAAACTGAAATTCTTAAACTACAGTTCCTTTTGACATGCTGATTTTTAACTAGGCTAGCAGGTGGGAGGAAATAGTTGCCACCGTGGCAAGTTTTCTGTTTGAGTAAATTAAATTAAACTGAGAGATTTATTGTATTCAGCCTGCAGATCATACTATACTTTGCTTCTTTGCTTATAGTTTCATACACAATATTTCCCTCTGTGAAAGACTTATCCCTGTTTAGAAAAATATTGCAAAAACAGTATATTCTTTGTCTATAGAATGCACATAAAATAATATTCTGTTAATCTAAACAGACTCTTATCTACATCAACTACTGTACTTACTTGGTAGCAAATGTACAAAGATGGATGTCGAAATAACACAATCACATTGTCCTGACAAAGCTCATGAAAATCCATCTAAACCTTAGAACATGCAGGTGTAAACAAACTGGGCAACACATTACCATTCTGACCTCGTCACATATAGCTGCTTGGTCATGGACTTTCTAAGTCGACATATGATTTTGCAAGGTAGCCTGGGTGCGTCTGTTAATATTCTGCATTGTCTTTTTTCAAAATACACTTTCACAGGAAATGTACAATTTGCGCGCAGTCTCTCTCAAAATAAAGAAACTACATCAGTACAACAATGTAAATTTACTTTTTTTTTTCCTTCAGCAACAAACACGTTATGTTTAGCCAACACCTGCATGTGGTTAGGTTTGGGCAACAAAAGCATGGGGTTAAACAGGGTTAAAAAAAAAAAAAGAACAGGGTTTGGTTTTACATTCCGACTTCCCAGGTAAAACTTGTTGGACTCATCCACCACCCCTCCCACCTCCCTACTTGGACTTTTTGACTGTGTTAAAAAGTATCTAGAGATGTTGTCGGGTCTTGTTGAATTTGTGCCACAAAGAATTAAGGCAGTTCTGAAGGCAAAAGGGGGTCCAACCTGGTACTAGCAAGGTGTTCATAATTAAGTGGCCAATGAGTGTGTACAATATGGTGTGGCATAATATGTATGTATGAGGCATGAGGCTCATTGCAAGATGGTAAGTAAATCCATTAACAGACCAGAAATAGAAGATCCCCAGATGACCTAGAGGTCTGGCGTTTGGAGACACTTTGGTTTCAAGTGAATTATGAGGATGATGGAGAGAGAGTGGTGGATTAAAAAAATAAAAAGAAAAAAAAGGTATGTTGCATCTGCTACACTTCAGTAGATTACATCAGTAGAATTTTTTTTTAACATTTAAACATTTATGCTAACATAACCCAGTGTGTTAGGTGAAACTAGACAAAAACAAAGCAGTTAAAATAAACTCCACCTCAAGTAACTATGACATTTAAAGGTGCTGTATATAAGAATGTGGCCAAAACGGTTACTGCCACGAGTCGTGTCCGCCCCACCCCCACCCCCCTCTACAGATTCGAGGTTGCTGCTCTGTGCTTCGGCGTCCAGCAAAAATAGAAGTCCTGCGTATCTGTTGCGGAGGGCTCTGGAGTGCCGCAGCTGAGACGGAGCCGGAATGCAGTACAGCTGCAGCCGGTGGAAACACACACATTGACTAGAACTGAATCCTATCGGAGCGCAGACGCAACCAACAAGCATCTGGTGGAAATTGGGGGTGATTTGTTTGCCCACAGGCGGCTGCCGTGGCAGGAACTGCCCATTGGTCCGACCATATTAAACCCATTGTTCCGAAGTCCCGTTGTTCCGAAATCATCATGATGCCCTGTGGATAAGGTCTGGTTAGGTTTAGGCACAAAATCCACTTGGTTAGGGTCAGGAAAAGATGATGGTGTGGGTTAAAATGAAAAAGAAAGTGACAAACACATAAGCCGTGAGCCTGCTTCGCCTCAAGCCTTTCCCAGCTGACCCAAAATATGTAACTTGTATATATATATATTTTGGATAATATGTCTCTATATTTTTTATGCAAGTATGGACTTTTTTGGGCTATTATGTATTCGCTGGTTTTGTACTATATGATGTGAACTTTCATATTTATGTAGGGTGACGTTTTTTTACATATGTGTACTCTAGATATGTGTGTACTCAAGGTCACTCTTCATGTTTATGCTGGACTACTGTATTTATATTAATACATCTTTGTCTGTATTTTTTCATTTTTTATATGTCTGGTTTACACACAGCTGTGATTCATCTCACTGATCACGGTGGGTATTTAAAGATGGCGTTTCTGGTTGTATCTTATTACAAGTATGAGGAAGAGCCTGCGTTGCTTGAAACGTCACTTGACAGAAAATAAATGGATTATGGGAGCTCTATCGGTGTGCGGATCATCTTTTCCTTTTTTGATGCCTTAAAAATGTCATCATGCAGGAAAGATGACACACACACACACACACACACACACACACACACAGATGAATTATAAAGCACCAACCTGGCGAACAAATGAAGTAGGTGCCATCCCTGCCCTGTGGGGATCCCCTGAACTGACATCAGTCACCTGCTGGAAGGGTGACACACGCACACACACACACACACACACACAAAGTAAACATTCTATTATTACAAATGAATGGGATAAATACTCCAAGGATGTGAGCACTGTTTTTCCTGCAAACTCTACTTCACACTACTTCACAACAATATAAAGATAAAAAAAGACTAATGCCATGTTTATTTCTCCGCAATTACATTCCAGACTGCACCAGTCTGCCCCTGTTGAATTCACTCATCAAAACTCACCTTTTCTGCTTTTAATATGTGATTGTGCGTGTTATGTATTTAAAGTGTGTTTTTATGATCATTTTATGGAAAGTATGTAAAGTGTCTTTAAGTGAAAGCATTCTATTATCAAAATTTATTATTATTGTTATTATTATGTATTCCATCCAATGGAGGTATTTGACTGATTCAGTGGAAATATTTTTTGTAACCTCTAAATCAAATTGACATTTTGGAGCTTCAAAGGAAGATAACCACTGCTGGAACAAATCTGTGAAAGCAAAATATGCTCTCTCTCTCTCTCTGTCTATAGAGACATCCCTACTCTGTGCACACACATGAATCCAAAAATTTAAATCATCCATTTACTGTATATAATCTCTCTCGCTCACGCACACGCACGCACGTGCGTCAGTAAGAGTCATGGAAACAGAACGCTGGAGTTACCAAGGCCCTATAAAAGCTGCAAGGCCTTTCTGAATGTCACATTTGCACTCGGACTTGACTCAAGTTTACCTGCAAAACCTTCTGCTGAAAAGCTGAAATATTGGAGACAATTTCTACTGAACAAACTGTTGGATACCTGATCTGAGAAACTCAAAACCTCACAGGTGAGAATCTTATTGCTCCTTCCGGGGCGCTGCTCTGTGGCTGCCCTGCTGAGTTTCAAAATGCCTTTGTGACTTGTTACAAACTGATTTCCCCACAGCCACAATTTAAAGTATCTTTCTACACAGCCACAAATTAAAGTATCTTACTACATAGCCACAATTTAAAGTATCTTTCTATACAGCCACAAATTAAAGTATATTTCTACACGTCCACAAATTAAAGTATCTATCTACACGGCCACAAATTAAAGTATCTATCTATCTATCTATCTATCTACCAGGAAAACTACATCTGCTACCTGTTGGAAAATGGCGTCCGGACCCCCCGCCGTGGAGCCCATGCTGTCCAGAGTCAGGCGTTGGATCACCTCCTTTTTCGGTAAGATATATTTTAATGTCATGATAAATTTAGCCTATTATTAATGTTGCTCAAATATAATGACATATAGGCCTATATACTAATTTCAGCACAAAAAATGCATTTAATTATGGTGAAATGTTGAATGTAAAGAGTCAGTTCACAAAATGTTCATCGATCTGTTAGGAAAAGAGATTTTGGTGATATTGGAGGTTTGCTTGGTGTAAAATGATTTATTATTATAAGAATATAGTGAATTTGTCGGGACAGGTGTGGAAGGTGTTAATAACTGTGTAGTGACACTGTTATTTTTGTTTGAGGGGACTGAATTTGGTAAATTCATTATCGATTATGGGGAAAAGATGGCGACTAGGCCATTTTTGAACGATGCCAATGAGGATGCCAATGATGCTTTTCTTGTGCACCATGGAGACGATGGAACGTATAAGAGCAAACGTCAGGACGTCAGCACGCGCAGGTGTAAACAAACCGGGGCCCGTTGCTCTGTGTGCTGAGGTTGCTGCTTAAAATGTATCTGGAGATGTTGTCGGGTCCTTTTAAATTAAAATTAATCACATTAATGAAATAATTTTCTGGATTTCTTTAAAAAGTGTTGCTCTGAGCCTGAATGAAAGAGATGAAGTGAACTGAAGTGTTTGACAGTTATTGGACAAAGCCGTTCAGTCATCGCTCAGAGCTTATAACGGACATGTTAGTGTTGTCAGAGCACTGAAATATACTTCGCTCGTTCATGTGGTATTTTCTTATGAAGGGAAGAGATGAGACTAGTTTGTCATGCAGTAACTGTGCGCGTCCTGCGTCCAAAGTGCCACCGTCTCCTCCATGCGGCATGATGAGAAACTGATAAACTGAGAGTGGCGTTAAGTAAATATTGACAATGAGAAGCACAGATGTTGGTGTTAACATTTTTTGGAGAATCCCTGTTCATTATTGTTGATGATTTTTTGAAGTATAACCCGCATTTTGTCATGCGTAATTGCGCGCACAGTTCTGTGCGCTCAAAGGTTTTCGCTGCATCCGAGTGTTCTACACAGCTTAACTTGGAGGCAACGAATCCACTTAGAAACACACAGTTTCCACAGTGTCACATCATCTCTATTCTCTCTGTCACTGGACTATATATATGATGCAACATGACAGAATTGTGTCTTATTGTTCTGATTACTGTTATAGGCTATCTGGTTTGTATTGTGGTTATAAGAAACATGATGTGTTTCCAGAGGCAAAACCAGGAATGTTAACAGTGTTATTATGTAGAATTATGGGTTACACCTCATTTTGATTGTCCACCTACAGATAGGTTAGGAGTATTTGTAACATTTCAACAGTTTATTTGTTGAGATTCAACAATAATTCAAATGTGTTGCTTTGTCTGCAGATGTTTATTATATGTTCAGTATAAGTGACAAATCAGAATATATTCTCAGAATAATTTTGTTGAACTTGAACTACTCACTTAACCCATGCTGAATAGGTTGAGTGAACAGTTCAAGTTCAAATAAATTATTCTGTGAATATGTAGATATGTTTATGAATTATCACATATGGGGTAAATGTCCCTATTAAGCCCACCAAATCTGCTTTTCAGACATTTTTGATATATATCGCCCTAATTTAAGTGAGTGTTTTTATTGTTTAATTTGTCAAAATATGTCAAAAGTCTGGCATGGGCTTAAAGGGTACTTAATGTACCCTTTAAGCCCATGGGTGTTCAAAATAAGCCCACTTCATGATTTGTTGATAAATAAATATATATATTTAAAAAATTTAACAATCCAAACTTGTTCTATTAAAATCTGTAATCTCTTAGCTCTCAATAGCTATTTTCATTTTCTTTTCACTCCTATCCTCTGGCCTGTAAATGGCTTTTGAAATAGGCGTGAT